ATGTGTGACTAATATAATGAGATTTGTATCAATTGACCATAAATAATGTGTACACTATTTGTACACTATTTAACCCTCAATTTTATCAGTTTGTACACTATTGTCTAAAACTAAGTTGGTCACACTAGCGTTGGCCCAAAAGGCGAAATGTGATCACTCGAGAGCCACAGAATTGCCAACATATGAATTAAAAGCGCGCCGACCGGACAGTTGCCAAATGATTGGCTACCAGTGCGAGAGTTACAAAGTGTTTACGACCGGGAAGTGCGCCGATTGTGGCCCCGATAATGAACTGTGCCGTCCGATGGAGTTTTGGCCACAATATTATCCCAAACGTATCGCTACGCCCACAAAGTTATCACTAAACAAGTTATATCTGTTGACTGCGGCAAAGAAACCCTTTTGTCTTTTTCACTATCAGATTGTGGTAAATATATTGACATATTAATAATGTATTCAATTTTTAATTGCATTTAAATTGTATTTAAAGATACTGATGGCGGAGACATCATTGGCCGGCACTTTCACCCTTAACCTCAAAACTGTTAAACCAATTGTCGCTGAGATTGAGAGCGATTTGTTAGGCTTTAAGTCGGGCCAGAATTATACCTATTTATACACCGATAGCCAACATTTGGGACAAATAGCCGAAGTAATGGTCAGTTTTAAAAAGATAATCGCCGGACAATTGTCATCGTTTGGCCCAAATGTCAATCCCATGGCTCCAAAAGCTGTTCCCAAAATAGCAATGATTTCTATTAATTTTATGAGCAATTTTGACAAAAGGTTTGCAAATTTCTTAATTTATTTTATTGTGTAATATAATTATGTTTTCTATTTTTTATTTGATATATTGATATATTTTTATAGTATACGTAATAAATATTCATCGAGATTATATGCCGACGCCGAGAGGCCGACAATATTTCTTATCAAAACAAATGCTAAAATATCCAAATTATCAAATAATCAAAGACCGGTAGCCAGAAAGACCCAGGGCAAAAGACCGCTACACAGAAAGAACGCGAGATCAAGACCTAGAACCAGAAAGATAGCGGGATAATGACCATGGGGCAAAAACCGCGAGGTTAAGAGACCGCTAGAAAGATATACAAAAATATATTGTGAAATGTATTAATAATATTTTCTTTGTTATTTGTTTGTTAATTATAAAATAGGTTGCTATCGTGATTTGTGTTAGTTGAGTTACCTGGCACGCACTTATAACACATTATTTGTTTGTCAAAATAAAATTCCAAATTTCATAGGCTGTAGACCGATTTATTTTTATACCAATTTGTGAATATTTTAATATATAGTTCACCACAAACAACATAACTCTTGAGACTTACAACAACCATAAATTATTTAGTAACAATTTCATATTAAATCATTTGCTGCTTCAACCCAGGTTATTTTTTAATTCTTGTTCGTGTCCGAAAATTTTTTATTTGATATATTGATTTATTTTTATAGTATACGTAATAAATATTCATCAAGATTATATGCCGACGCCGAGACGCCGACAATATTTCGTATCAAAACAAATGCTAAAACATCCAAATTATCAAATTATAATAGTGTGTTCAATATGATTACAACAATAAACCCATTGACAAATCTAGGTGTTATTGTTTATAAATTTCTTACAAAATTATTATTTTTATTACCGAAAAGGATTTAATTGTAATACAATTTAAAATATAATTTATTGACGAGTATGGGATGAATGAATGGATTAAAGTTTTATGATAAATTAAAATTTGTTCGTTTTCAAAATTTTAAATTTAAAAACTATGAAATACTTTTAAAAATTTTTATGTTAAAAACTAATTTAAAGATTTTGGTCAAAATGAGTGCCGAAACCGACGGAATTAGTGTAAAAAGTCTGAAGACAGTTGTCCTGAATTACGATATAGTGATTGAGATCTTCTCATACCTCGAGATCCATGAGTTGATTGGTTTGGAGAGAGTCTCCAAAGAGTTCCAGTTTT